TGAAGGCAGATCCTCAAACACTCCCCTGGTGCGCTTGCGCGCAATAGAGAGCAGAAACAGAGAGAGAGAGAGAGAGAGAGAGAGAGAGAGAGAGAGGGAGTGGTACAGCTACAGTGCAGACTCAGTAATGTGGCCCACCTCCCATCTACCCCTGCTCCGGCTCTGCACAAAAAATAAAAGAAAAGAGAAAAAAGAAAAACAACCAGGCCTCATATGTCACTGTCAATACTGGCCCACATGAATCTAATATGTCCAGCAATGAGAGACTTTGTTCAAACAGATTATTTGGCATTGGATAACAAGAAGTGCACATGCATACTTGTGTGTCACTGCTCGGCTGCACTGAGAACAAACCTGCACAGCACAATGCGTTCAGAAGGATAAAGAAGAAACAGCTTCTAAGCTTTACTTACAAAGTGAGTTGTTTCCTTATAGGACACGCTGTTATATACGCCCCACAGCCAACTAAAAGATTGCTTAATCCAGAACAGAATCCTTTTTGCTGATCCTTTGTTTTTGAACAAATAATTGTATTCCCTTACCTGACGCCTCAGGGGTGGAAGGAAGAGAGGAAGATGGAGAAGACGGGGAGCCACATCAATATAATTGGTGCTATAACAGGATATATATATATATATATATATATATATATATATATATATAAAATAAAATCATCAGTGTTGCTTCAGCTTTGTCCCAATCAGACTTTGATTCAGTTGCAGACACATGAGCGTAGACAGACAAAAGAAAAAAAAGAAGCCAAGAGCAGGCATTAGCATTAACATTTTCATTAATTGAATCTTGTTCTAACTTAATCAGGAACCCCACTGAACCTCAAGTTATATGAATCTCCACCCTCAAACCGAATTCAATATCTACAATGCAGTACGTAAGTATTAGGACAGTGATGCAGTATGTTTTTCATTGCTTCGGCTCAGCAGATTGAATTTTAAATTAAACAATGACTATGAGGCTCAAGCTCTGATCCTCAGCTTGAAGGGAACTCAGGATTCATCTAAAAAAGAGCTGCAACCTCTAATTCATCATGTGGATGTAAACAGCCACAAATACTTGAGGTAGAAAGTCAGTACTTATAGTCATTGTCCTCGTACTTAAAGGCTGGACTTATGTTGGTATACATCATGATATAATACAATACACAAGACTTGGGAAGGCAGGTGTTCGAGCAGAGTCTGGATATTAGCAGGAAAAACCCTTCAGGCCGCTGAAAACTCGCGTTATTGAGCTCTGAGCGCCGACATTTTATGGAATTAAAATACGCTTTTTCCCTCAGAAGATTGCATTTCTAATGTTTGTTTTTGTTTTCAAGGTACACAGGTGTATTTCCATCAATCTATTTTTCATATGTCTGTAATATGTTGAAGTGAAACTAATACTTTACACTTGGATATCATGAAACTTCCATCCATCCACTGTCTGTTCTCCCAAATTCAATTCTGAGCAGCACTACGTCTTCATCCTTTCACGCTGAACTGAGAGCAGACTGGACGCTACAGCGACTCGCTTTTGCAAAGTAGCATTAGGAGAAGGGACAGGGTGGGGCTAGCTGGTTAGCATGCTAACTTCAGTAGTAGAGAAGAAGTGATAGAAGCAAAATGGATGTCGCTGGAGACACCTCTTAGTGAGTAAAGGAACAAAGTTTGATGCCGAACTCGCCACATTTCTTCTAGACTGGTAAACAAACAGCTGTTAATCCTAACGTTAAGCTAACATTGGCTAAGTAGCGATAGCAATAACGTACAAATCGCACCTTAAAGTCAAAGAGAAATGCTGCAAAACCAAAAGGGTGTGAAGACAGAAGAGAGAAAAAAGATTGGCTGACTGCCACAAGCTTTTTTATCTCCAGTATTCAGTCCAGGTGAACTGAACCTCCCTGACCACCTGACACCGGGGGGCAGCGAGAGGCCGAGGGGTCCTGTCCAGAGAGGGTCATTACACTGTCATACATACAAGAGTATATGCTCCTCTAGTCTCAGTGTACTTGTATTTGCCTTTTTTAGCCTCCACACTGTTACGGTTACTGCCCATGATGGTGTTAATCTGTGAGGGTGGGGTTCTTGCTCCTGTATGTGCTGGAAAGTGAGTTTTAAAGCTCTCAGCTCTTATAGGGGGAATAATCCCTGAGCCACTGGGAGTGAGTGATCCACAGCCCCATCAACCCCACACAAATATATTATGGCTATTTTGTGTCAAGGGGCAGTAAAGTTCTTACTTATTGCCCCTTTTAAATGAAAATATCTATTAAAGCTTTAATGTGAAGCCAGCAGCAGAGCAATTTCAGTGTATGATCGACAGCAAATATTATCTCAGCAGCATGATCCTTTAGAGGCAATAAGGATTTCCAGCGCCAGTTCAGACAACAGGGAAGGTTTTTTTTCTCTTTGTTTTGTTTTTTTTTTGTTGAACTGAGTACATCAAAGTTTGATGAGAGATTTGTTTCTGATGCACTTCTCACAGCTCCCGGTTTTTCGCGTCGCTCCAGTGCACATGGTGGAGCTCCTTCAGGAGATGATCTAGTGTAACACTTAAAAGTCGGCCGACCGGTTTTTATAACCACATTAATCACTGCCGCTCTCGTACGCTCTCGAGCAGCCTCAGCCACTTGTGGAAAGGAAGAGCTCAGCAGGGGCTTTTCATGAATTAAGACCCAAGCAGATCGGAGGCCAGTCAATAGCACATCCCTCTGACTCGCCTGATTTCCCATCGTCACCTTGCTGTAAAGTTCTGCTTTGCAGTCCGACATGAGATTATCTCACCATTCCTTATATGAAGCGTTCAAAGTATTTCAGTTATTGCTGTTCCATTTTTCTGGAATTAGTTCGGGACAACACAATACACTGCGTCTGTCCATAGACAACTTTCTTTATCATGAATAGGTCTATACCAGTGGTTCCCAAGTTTGGTGAAAAGATGTAATTATAATACACATAGATAATGTTTTAAAACAAAATGACCTTTTATTGTTTTGTTTTTTTTCTTTTCTCTAAGGCCTATCACTGTGATCAGCCAATGATAGGAGCTTTTATGTTGTCGCCAGCCAGACCGAGTATCAAAATAGATAGCTAGTCAACAACACGAAGAGTTAAAAGGAAAGCGGCAGATGGTGGATGGACAAGTGATCTCTCCCCAAAAAACAAGAAAGAATAATTGAGCTTCCCCTCCTTTCAGTTCAGTCCTGAACGTCCGATTGTCATCATTAAAATGGAAGGCTCTCTGGGAAGGCCTTATTTGGCCTTTGTGTTGTTAGATGTGCGCCGCCAAGATTTTTCAGATTTTCAAATGGGTCATGAGTTGGAAAGAAGGTTGTGAACCGCTGGTTTATAACATGTCTGACACAGAGCGCGGCAGTGAAGAGGCCAGCTGGGATCAGCGTTGCATATTTTCGGGTCTCTGGGCTGTCAAGATTTTTCTTTCTATCATTAAATAAGTTTCTGTATCTTTGTGTCACAAATGGATTTTATGCTCGGCTGAGGTGGAACACTTGGTGTATTGATAACAACATGGAGTGGAAGTAGACTTCACAAATAAATCATAATTTCCACATGCTCCAAGAGACTTATTTTTCACTGAAGCTTCGCTCTGCTGAAGAATCTGAAAAAATGGCAGCAGGTGAAAAAAAGTAATATCTTTCATATTTGTTTTTTTCCGTTGTTGTGGTTTGATCGGTTTGAATTTTAATTACATCATCTCGTTGCGCCCTCTACTGCCGCAGTGGTTTAATGGCACCCTGTTTCTGCTGTTTTGTGTCACGCGATGACGTCAAACCGAGGGGTCAAAGTGTCAAAAAAAAAACTTGCACTCATTGCGTCGACACACATCAACTCTCCAGAAAAGCTATTTTATCACATTTATCACTCTGCAGAATCACACCCCCTGACACTGAGTACTCCCTTCTGCGTACAGCCGGCTCCGTGTGGTCACCAGCGGACGCTCATCAAAGGATGCCATGCGTTATAACTGGTGCGTCAGACGCTTCGGATTGGCTCGAAACATTTGAAGGATTGAATGACACATTTCAAGCATTTTCAGGGGGGATATGGATATTGCTTGCCATTTTCTCCCCATTCTCTGCTTCACTCACTTTTGCAGCCCCCTCACCCTGAAAGCAACCACAGACACCTAAATCCCTGCCTGCAACAACCGTGAGTGCCTCCATTTGTTACTCCCACAATGCATTAGGAGTGAAGTGAATCCCCCTGCCTGCCTTCAACAAGATTTCACCATAACCAGATAGCAGACCGAGGCACTTATTGTGCTCCGTGTGAAGTCACAACCTCAACCGCCTGATTGGCACCTCATTTATTCAGCCTAATGGAAGGAGGTGGGCCCCTGGGTGAAGGGAGCCATGCAGATACATGGAGTGAGTGACGGGCCCGCTACATCGTTAGAGACAGCCTCCTGGCTTGACTTTGTTGTACAGCAGACGCCTGGTCCAACAAGGCAGAATTAAACAGTATCAGAACTAACAGGCTCCTATTTGGGTGGAGTAACTTTATATGAGGTGTCACGTTGGCCTTCTTTTGTTGCCGGCAGTAAGCTCTTTGAAAGTGGGTTAAAGAGTAGGTTAAATAGAATAAATCCACTGGGAGTTGTTAAAGATGTGAGCTAAAATATTTTTTTAAAAAGTGTGTAGCATCCGACCGAGCATCAATCTGGAGGAGAGGAAAGTTCTAAACTTTAAGTTTCACAGGAGGAAGTATTAAAAGGAGGGAAATGCAGGAACTACTTACTTTGGGCTTCAGCATCACTGAACATACACCTTCCTTAAGATTGTTGTTGCACCTATGGCTGTGCTGTAATAACACGAACCATTAAAGTTTTAATATAACTTCACATTGCGACTAAATCTGCGGTGACAATTTCATATCCCAGAGCGCTGCTACGCCGTAAGCGCAATTAAGAGGATAATTCCGGTTTATTACAACTGCAGTCTTATTTTTGTGGCAATAACATTGAACTCACCGAGTCGATAGCTGAGACCTGGGAACACGGTGACATCATTAAGAAGATGTCTGTCAGAGCGGGAGACAGGAGGAGGGAGTCGACCAGCAGGTTTTTAAACCCCGCGGGTTAGAGCTGCCCTCTCAGAGCTGAACCCGGAGAAACGAAGACCGAACTTATTGAAATAACACTTTTCATTTAATTCAAGAACAATTTTTGACAGAAAAATCATGCTTCCTCCATATTTGCCACTTCTAAGATCTCTGATTTGACGTTGGAGCTGTTTGTGCTTATTCTAACACAGTTAACAACCAATGGATACAAGCAAAGCAGCGATATTATCATGGATTATGCATGACTTGAATATTGTTTTGAATATACTATATGCTAGCAATGTGGCTCCAGGGAGGGCAATGTCAGTCTGTCGGCCATTAACAGCTATTGGATGGACTGCCATGTATGGTTCACACATTCATGCCCCCCTCAGGACGTACTATAGTCACTCATGCTGACTTAGCTTAAAGCACCACTGTGCCAAGGTGCAGCCCTACTAATATCAGAGGTAATGCTTAGTTTAAAGTTTATTGATCATGGGTTTAAATGATCCCATTCGTTTCTCTTCTTCTGTGTTTTATTTGAAGTGTTGATCCATAAGAAGATATATTTGTTTGTTTATATTTGGTTTTAAGAACCAAAAACCATCCCAGTGTAGTTTTACATCTCCTCTCTCAGGCTTCTCTCTGGAGCTCTAGTATCAACTGGTCGGTGAGCCAATCAGAAGAGAGGAGGCTCTGAGCCTCTCTACTGATTGGCTGCCTGTTTTCTGAGTGATACAATAAAAATATAGCAGATTTCAGGTAAAAACACTCAGAGAAACCAAATCCTACAAGGTTTGGATGGTGGGTCCAGGTGGGCGGGGCTTGGTGACTGCTTTGTTGTGACATCACAAAGTTCCAGAAGTCCTGACGGCTGGTTTTAAGGCTCAGTTTCTGAATACAGGCTGTGTGCATTTCTCTGTGGACTGAGGCTTTGATACTTTCACAGTATTAATATAGAACCTAGACCTGATCTATAATCACACTACACATGGACAGAGACCTTTACAGTGGAGGGAGCTTTACCTGATGCCATATTTAGTATAACTAGCATAGTTAACAAGCAGCAATAAGTGTTTATATATCATAGTAATCATGGAGGACGTACAGTAACTGATCCTTCCTGTAGTGTCTCTACACTTCATGTCCCAGAGCTGGTGGCAGACGAACTGAAACAGATTAACTGAAGAGGACCAGGCTTACAGACAGGCAGGTACAGACAACAGGTAACCACACACACAGGTGGCAGGAAGGGAAGTCCACAGTCAGCGCGGTGCAAAGAGGAAACACACAGACACAGACCTGAGAGCCGACTGTGGAAACTGTTAATTATACTGAGCAGCAGATGAGGGGAATGAGGAACAGGTGTGTGGATAGGTGGGGAAGTGCAGTGATGGAACAATGGAAAACAGGTGAGCAGGTGGACGTGGTGACAGGAAGGAAGTCCAGGGACATCTGGTGGGTGAGGGGAGTATGACGGGTGCCTCCCTTTTTGTGTTTGAAAGTTGTGGGTGTTGCTGATTCATCCACAGCATCTTAATTGAAGGAAAGCGAAACGATATGGAGATTCTGAGCAGATGTTCACGACTGGCTCCTCCTTTTCTGAGATCACCGCTTTCAAACAAACAGAGAAACATTTAGTAATAAACGCTTTTATGTTTGATTTATGTGAGTATGGAAACTCAGAGGGAAAGTCGTCACTTTATAATTTGTTCTCTCTGAAAAGGAAAGAAAAAGAAACTTCACTTTGAGTTTGTTTTTCTGGAGGAATCTCTGACCTGTAGACAGACAACAGACTGCCTTCTACAGCAAAGCTGAACTGTGACCAATTAGAGAGGGAAAGTTGCTATAAAGCAGTAAACACTGAGCTGCTGTTGAGCTAAATGACTGCAACAAAACGCATCAGTGCACACACACTGACACAAACACACACACAGACACACACAGACACACACACACACACACACACACACACACACACACACAAAGCTGTTTTCTGGTTGGACGTGTAAAACAGCAGCTCTTGTTACCTTGATCTTTGTCAGTGTTCATGTCTGTGATCAGAAGTGTGTTATTTAGTTCAGCTCTGTTTTTGGGTGGAGATGCTTCATCTCTTAAAACTACTGCTCCTCTGAATATGTGCAGTATTAACAGTGTGAGGTGCAAATGTCCTTAACACCACTGACATGAAACATATTCAGCTTGTTGTTGCTGCTAAAGGATTATTTAGATCCAAAGCTCTACAAAACAAAATCCCCCTCAAATATTACACTTTGAATTCTGATACTGGTTTTGCATTTACAACAAACAAACTCTTCTTTATCAATGTATCAATCATGTCTGAATATTCTGCCATTTAACACACTAACATGCCATCAAATGCAATTTTATGAAGTTGTCAAAGCAAGCCACAAAAAATTCAAGAGTCTGTTTGTGGTGCTTCCTGTCACGATAGGCTGGATCTGTCAATTCAAAGACGCTCTGCCTAAACAGGCCGCGCCGTGGAAGAGTTAAAAAGCTTTTCTGACAGTTCATGCTTTATGTTAAAATTACCTCTCGCTTTCATCCCCCGTGTAATTTCAATTCTGTGGCTTCCTTGCTTGTGTGCTGCACAAACACAGACACACACACACAGACAAACACACACACGGACACAATTTATGTATTTATTCATTTCCTCCGCAGCTTGTTCAAAGCCATGTACACATCACCCTCTCTTGACGTGTGAAGCTTCAGGTTTTTAATTATTCATTCAGTTATATCTAAAGCAGATATATTCCAGCACTTTTCTGCTGACAACCTGGGCTTAAAAAACCTGGGAGTAAAACGGAGGACAATTTGACTGAGCAAACAACTACTGCGTAGTGATATCATTCCAGCGGCCTGGTCTCTTCACTCATCATCGTGATTTCAAGCTCACTTTGACGTGGCGGAATAAATCGCTCTGCTCCGAGATGAACTGACTTTGACTCACAGGAGATCCTGAACGCAGGAATCTCGTTCAGGAGTTTGTGGGTGATAAGTTCGTTTTACACGAGACACGAGGCAAAGATTTCGCCTCCACAGCCTTCTGTGCATCTTGACAACCACTTATTATATTGCTTAATGTGAGAGTGTACAGCTTGCGGCAGATTAGCTGAAGGAACTGAGGTCACAGCCCCCCTCCCCCCGCCCCCCCGGGTGAGTTACATATAGGCTACTGTGCACTTTAATGCCTCTTTGGTCACTAATGGTCCAGAGCCTTTTTAGTTCACAGCCATAAGCAGCGCTGACTGATAATATGAGACACAGCCTCAAAGCTGCTAAAAGCAAAAGAGAGAGAGAGAGAGAGAGAGTGACACAGGCAGGTAGAGTTTCATCAGTTTATCACATCATCTACACGCTGCTGGTAGAAGTGGGTTCATGAGAGCGAACAAAAAGGCCTCACGTCCTAAACAATGAGCCAAAAGAGGCATAAATGCTCCGCACAGTCTAATTCTCTGAGGGCCTGTCAGGATGAGCGACACCTTTAATATGAACCCGTTTATTGATTGTAATTGCGATTTGCTGAAATTCAGGTCGAGAAAGCAAAATCCATTATGGGAAATGTAGTTCATTTGTCTTTTTTCTGCGAGTTTTAGCTGCAAAAAAAAGTTTTTAAGTTGCAGTTCAGACAATAGCTGACGACCTGAGCGAGGGGAAGGAGAGTGCAGCCGTTAGCTGGATGCTAACCAGCTAGTCAATCACCTCATCGCTTTTTTGTGTCCGCTGGAAACACCGTAGAGTGTGTCTGTGTCTGCTTTGGAAGAAACTGTTGGTTTGACAGTCCGAACGCCAAAAGACCAACAGACCGTGCGGCCGTGGAGAATGAAGACGCAAACTCGTAAATCCTCAAAAGCAGCATCTCTTTATCTCTGCAGTTACAGTGCTGCTGCTGCTGCTGCTGCTGCTGCTGCTGGAAGAAGATTTGTCGTTAGCGCAG